CATTTAAGACTCTGTCCTACACTCCTGAAAACTAGTCAAATCACAGACCACCACCCCCTCCCCAAAAAAAACAAAACCAAAAAACCCACCACTGGCAGGATTCATACTGGATATCACCTGCCAAAAAGGCTTTTGCAGCCTCTTTTTCTTGCTAACCCTCATTTGTACACAGTTGCCTGTTAGAAGAAATCTTTTCTGTGCATGCCTTTCTATTGGTAACCCTTTCAATGTGACAGTGCAAACTAGCTGAAGCATTAAGTGAGACATTTCGTAAGTGGTAACTGCTGGGTGTCTTTTCATTCAGCTCGTAAATGCCTATTTTTCAGTTTTCTTGATCATTATTGATAACAGTGCATTCTTATATCTTGACATATCACAACAGTTTAATTCAAAAGATACAAAAATCAAGCATAGTCATATTAAAAAGTAAATATTAGTGTTACACTTGATGAACATATGTTGAATTTATGTTAGTGTGTTTTCAATTCTGTGTGTCCTGTCCTGCATTTTAATCAGACTTGTATTAAGGTACAACGCCATATCATTAAAGGTTCTTCCCCAAATCTTTACATCCATGGGAGTTTTGTTGTTGTAAGGTGACTAGGCTCTCCATTCACAATGGCATGAATGAAGTTGGGATATGAATCTCAGTTTTTAACTAACTTTAATTTTCTTGCTTTTACAGGTCATACTTTAACACAACCCTAACATAATTAAGGTATGTGCGTAACAGCTGAAATAATAACTACTTTTCTGGATACTGTTTGTATCCTGTCTCATATTTCATATATAAAGTTTCAGCCTAAAATTAACCAAACACCAAAAAAAAAATTACAATGCAAAAGGCATTTTATCTAAGTTGAAAATGTGATGAGTATTACTGTCTTTAATGTACATTTTTATTTATACTTTATTTAATAATAAAAAAGTGAATGTGAATCTTATGTACGAAGTAGTTGCCTCACCCCTGAAACTGCTCTACAGCCATAACCTAACATACATGCATGACTGCAGAGGATTTGTAAAATAGTTGATTGTGCAGACAATTAACTCTCATCTAATCAGGTAACAAATTATGGTGCTCTGCTTTAAAGAATGTTAGGGAACTTGTGAGCACCTATACATGTGCCTGATGCCAGCTCCAATGTGAACTCTAATTAAAGTGCTCCCCACCACCCCAGAGTACATGTAAAGACACCCTATGTTCCATAAGTTAATTTTTCACACAGGGGTGGTGCTTGCACCAGCCCTGCCCTACTCCCAGGGCTATTAGTGGAGAGGAAGGGAAGGGAGCAGCAGCAGATTCTGGGCTGCTATGCCTGGCCTCAACTGGTATGGAGCCCCTCACCTTGTGGCCCCTGCCAGTTACCGCAGCTGGGGTACTGGGGGGAGCTGGGGAGCTTGTCCCAGCCCAGCCCAGCCTCACCCCTGTGTGAAAAATTAACCCTTGAGAAAACACATGTTCCTTAAGGCACTCTGAAGCAGAGCACCCTACTCTGTTACCTAATTAGATGACTTTTTGCATAGTCAGCCATTTTAGAAGTACTCTGCATGTATGCACATCTGTTAGGTCCTGGCTACAGTGTGCTTGCAGGGGCCAGATCACATGAAATGGGATGTGTGGAGGGGCAGCTGGAGGCCCCCTCCAGCAAGACTGGGGGAACAGGGGGCTGCAAGTTGGGAGTACGGGGCACCACCAGGGCTGGGGTTGGGGCTGTGGTTTGGAAATGAGGGGCACTGGGAGGGCAAAGGACTGTGAGACAGGAATGCGGGGCACTAGCAGGGACAGGGGGGATGCAGGTTGGGAGTGAGGGGCACCAGTATATCCTGGGGGGGGGACATCCCCTAGGTCCATATATGGATTGTCTTTTCAATACTGTTTTCAATTGCAGAGAAAGATGCTTTCCAAAAAATAGAGTTGTAAGGAGTTGTTCAAATCCACCAAACCATAGAGAAGTGTGAAATAAGATCTGAATTTTGCTGTTGTTAAAATCTTCTTTAATACCTCTCCCCTTCTCAGTTAGTTCATACATGTATTGCTCTTCTAGAGCTGGATCCCAGTCTATGCCTGTTTTGACAATAGATAAGGCACACTTACGCCTTCTGATTAGTAGTTACATTATATTTGATTATTCAGACTCTGTGATCCTTTCCTGATTGATGGCAGAACATTTTTCTCATTAGATGGGGAGAAAACTGGTGACATTTAACAGGCAGGATTCCAGATACTATGATGAAGCACTAGGTATGAGTTTCTCACTTCTCATCACCCATCAAAGTTCCAGCTTTGTGCTTGTCTGATTTGGGAGCTATTCTGAAATAGCTGTTTGAAAGTGGTTTGAGCTCATTCAGAAAAAGCATTCACACACACTGTTAATCAGAAACAGCCTTTCTGATCTAAATTCACATCCTACCTTAATTTCCCCATGAAAATAAGTCCTTAGGTAGGCTGGATTGGTGCATTTAGTTTTTTTTGTCTCCTAACCAGTAATGTATTTTCATCTTCACAGAAAGACAATATTTAGGAGTCTTTGTGCCAATCATAGCACAATGGTAACAATCTTATTCCAGCTGTCACTCCAATCAGAATCAGTTTGTTGACTATCACACAGAGCTCTAATATTTAAAGAACTAAAATGCTTTTAGAGTTTTGTTCTCTTGAATCTCCCAAAAGGAAATGGAACCATCTCTGATTATGGCCGATTGACTCAACTCATTTTCTTTTTTGGACAAGGCATCACAAAAACATCACATAAGCTTTTGATAGTTTGTATGGTATATGCTGATAAACATTTCAGAGGTAATTTTTGCATTTTGATTCATATAGGTTTCAGAAGCAAAGTAATGTTAATGATAAAGTTCAGTTCCTTCCTTGTCCTCCTCATCTTCAGAATCAGTATCATCATTGTAGAAGTGAATTGTGGCCTGCACTAGAAAACTTGACAGAACCTTCTCTCCAATGTTGTGTAGATATTTTTTAGATTTTGATTTGGGCAAGTAGAGTCTGCTAAAGAAATGTAATGCAAACTAAAAAACATGACAAAAATATATGAATCCTTCCAGACTAATTGACAAGTTTACGTATTAAAAGCTAATTCTTTTCCTTTTCTTTTTGAAAGAGTGAGTCCTCTGCATTCTTAAAGGCTTCTCCCTAAAAGTCACATATCACCAACAGCTAGCAGATACTTTTGATGCTAAAAGTGAACACATTTACCTGTCTTTGGAGTCTGTCAAATATTGGGTCAGGCAGAGGTCTCTATTTGACAAAGTGCTGCTACTGAAGAAAGTTGAGCAAATGTGATTTTTCTAGAACTGTGTGGAATGCATAGATGGATGAGAATCTGCGGGACGCTGGTTTCTGATGTTGAGTACTTTGTCCAAGTGATACAGGAAGTCTGGCATCCTTTACTGGTGCAAAGTTAAGGTCATTGTGTGTTGTCTGCTGGACAGAGCCGGTTTTAGTGACTTGGTGATTATTTTGGGTGGAGAGGCAGGACAAAGTATGTACAGTTAGATATTTTAACTGTTTATGTCCCCACTTTCGTAATTTTGTATTAGGCATGTTCAGCATGCAGCATTAATTCACTTTGTATTTTTGTATCAATTAAATTAAGGAGTAAATAAAATCTGCCAGGGTAATATTTTTCAGATAACTTTCTACTTTTTGTGATTAGCATGTTGTTTCTGATACTGCTTATTTTGTGTGTCTTCTCAGTTAAATTACATGGCTTGATACTGTCATAGAGGGAATTTGTTGTAGAAGAATAGAAACAAGCAAATTTAACTTTTTGGTATCAATCATTAGGGTTAATCTCACCTCACTGGATGCTGAAAACTCAAAGCTTCTTTTGATCTAAAATTTCTCTGATCACCAGGCTGTAAAAACACATGCACATAATTTAGAAAACAATGACACCATAGAAGTTCAGTATGAAAAATGTATTAGATAATCTAGTCCCATGGGCAGCCTCTGTTTGTGGCATGTGGCTTATTGAGGAGGGAACAAGCAGCACAATGGCAGATAGGGCAAGAAGCAGAAAGCAGAGCATCAGATCAGGCTTTAATTGACAAAGGGAAGAGTCTAGCCAACATGATTACAGGAAAAAAAAGTTTAAAAACAAACGTTGGGGTGTAAATAATGCCAGGTTCATCAGTAGCAATTAAAAACACATAAAACAACTTTTTAAATATCTTGTCATGCCATCTTTTAAAATGGAATTTTGCTTCGTATCATGTTGCTAAGAAATAATTTAAATTTCATATGCTGGTCCCGCTCACCTGATTTAGGTCAGGGTCACACAAGTCAATACCCACCCCCTTAGAAATCAGCATAAACTGTCTCAAGTGGTGTCTACTAAATCCCACAAGTAGGCTGACCAAGGACCACAATATTACACAGGGAACAAGTAATTAATTATTTTTTAAGTTTACATTTGTGTTATACTTTCCTAGAAAGATATATGTTTGAATTTGTAGGTACCCTTTTCTGATAAAATATCATGGTTATGGTTTAGGGATATTATAAAACGTAAGTATCATCAATCATAGAAATAATATTTATAAGCTGACTGAAAAACTATGAATATTTTCTAGTGTCAGCAAAAGAAGACACCATACATTTGCAAAGCACATAGTTGAAAGAGAGAAACCTGACTGAGGTTAGTAACTTGAAAAACAGTTTCTTCACAAAGCAAGAATAACTCACATAAAACATGTATCTGTGTAGAAGTGAAGGTTAGTAGCAGTTCAGACCAAACTTTTGAAAAGTACAATGTTACAGAAAGAGAGAGCAAGAGATTCTCTCTTTGACAATAAGAATCTTTAGTCTAGAGAGAGGTACACTAGTCTAGGAGAAAGTAAATTATATATCTCTCTTATTGTTATTACTTCTGTACAGTTCTCAACCCCTAGTGCTGATAAAGGCCTCTTATCCTTACTGGAGACATGACAAGCTGTTTAACATTAACTTATCTTACTACAGCAAGAGGAGAAGTACATGGGACATGGAGACCAAAGTGTTCCCACCACAGATCAAGGCTGAACCATGTTGGCAGGACAATGATATTAAGTTTGTCTTGTCATCTTATAGACAGGTTCGTTTTCCAGCCAGCCCCTTTCAACAGTGCTACATTTTTTTCAGCTTAAATGTATAGATATGTACAATGTATTTGAAAAAGTTAGCTAAGTTTACATGAGTCGTGTGGATATGCAACCCACAAAAATCTTAAGAGCTATATATAATCAGTAACCGAGCAATATTGAACATAGCCACAAGTCCAAGCATTCTTTTGTTCCCTCTATGTTGGTTGTAAACTAAGGGAAGTGGACTCAGAAATTAGTGGAAACTAGGAGCCTTGGGTATTTGGGGTCTAATTCTGTGACTCTGTGGCAGGTGTAGAGAGATTTCGAGCACAGACCTCAAACTGTCTCCACAGTTTGAGTTCCAGTAAAGTCAACAGCTATGCTGCCAGTGGCTGCTTTACCCCTGCTGCGTTCTGGAATTCCTCATCCCAAGCAGGGTTCAGAGCAGGGGTGGGCAATTATTTCAGCTGGAGGACCGCTTAACAAATTTTGGTGAGCTGTTAAGGGCCTTAAGGATAACCCTGCCCCTTGATGGGTGCCCTGCCCTTTGGTTGCCATTTGGGGACTGGAAGCCCCACCCACTAATCCTCGACCTTTGCCACTGGAAGTCCCTCTCCTTGTCCTGGAAGTGCTCCTTTTGGAGGGGGATGGGGGTGCCATCTTGAAACTGGAAAAAAAGTCATATACTAAAAAAACAAATCAAACTTCTACTATAACTTATTTGTACAAAAAATGCTAGGCTGGCCTGCCATGTAATTTTGTGGGAGGGAAGGAGGGAGGACAAGAAAACATTTATTATTCCTGGACGCAAGCACCTATAATAACTGGGGCAACCTGAATTCAAGACTCAGCTCTACATATAATGGGGAGGTATGTCAGATTTAACTTCAATAACGTCATGTTGCCATACTAGCGTTTCCAGGAAATAGCTGTTTTCTGACTAAGCCCTTACAAACAGGTGTTATTAGTAAACAGTAATCCATAGGATTTGATTAGAGAACTGTTCTGGATTATAAGAGGCTTCAAGTGGATTCTGCAAAAAACTAACTTTATACCAAATCTCCATTAGAGAATGTAAAGGTTACGTAATTAAAAACTCACGTCAGAGAATATAAAATGTACAGTTGCAGATGCATCCTTAGTTCATCCTTTTTGTATGAGTTACAACATAATCTGGAAAATATGTAATCACTGACTTTATTTCAAACAACACAATATGAGATTTCTGCACCTCCTTAGATATGTGTATTTTGGTGAGTTAGACTTCTTACTGTCTACAATGCCCGGGTTAGTCGTCTGTCTCTGCTTCTCCCATAAGAGTTTTTGCATTGTTTCTTATGCTATCTTTACATATGGGAAAAAATTCTCACCCAGTCTACTTTGATTGTAAGTATGGGCTTTCAAATACTTTTGATTGATCAGACTCATCTTTTGCAGCCCCCTTAGACGCAGTCTGCAGCCGATCAGGGATCTGTGAACCACAAGTTGACAACACTGGTTTAAAGTATGAAATTTGTTACCCTATGTGCTCTTCCTTCCCACTCCCGCTTTCCTCATGTAAATATTCAGAAGAGAGGATTCATTTATTATGCTTTTGCAAAATACCTAGCACAGTATTATCATAATATATTGTTAAATATTGTATAACATGTAGCATCTTGTAACACTTTTCTTTATCCTACTTTATTCTCAATGTTAAAATGGCCTTGTGTATCTTACTGATCTGTTATATACAATCTTCTGTTTGAAGTACTGTTAATTTACTGTGTGTTATTTCTTTCCAGCAAACAGTATATAGTTTCTTAGAAGCAATTCAGGCAGGTAGCCAGCTGGCTATAAATTTACCTACCCATATATGCCAAAAAAATTCCAGTATTAATCTTCTGTGTTGTAAATGTGTCTTGCTATAGATTTAATTTGAATTACTTTCAGAATATGAGTATAAAACATGAGAAAATGGTACATATGCCTTCCAGATAGTAGCAAAACATGAATGTTACTTTGCATTGTATGAAGGAAAATAGAGCCTGAAGTTTCCAAAGATGGTATAGACTGCACAAGCACTACAATTGCTTAAACTTTCTCTTCAAGCACGTGCCATTCTCAATCAAATTAAACATTAAACCTTAATCCTGAGAAGTAATTTAACAACAAAATAAACAAAAAAAGCAAATCAAATCATGCTATAAAAATGAAAGCTTCTCGGGTTGTTGCCATAACACTGAGCTCTTTTTTAAAAAAAGCCTCCTAAATTCTATTAGTTTTGCTTTTTACACCGGAGTTCCTTCAATGGTTATTTTTTCCAGACTTAACCTTACCATTCCTTGACTTCTTGTCAGCTGAACATCTCTTGCTGTCAAAATCCAAGGTCTCCATAATGTAAGGCTGCTGAAAGGTTAATGAAAAGCACTCCCATATCACTCTGTACTAACAGGCGTATTTCAGTGCAGTGACAGTAATTTTAAATACATGCTTCTTCTAGCTTTGAAATACATGCGCCAAGACCAGAATTAAATTAAGTTGGTAAACATGATCTGCATGGTAGATTTTTCTTTCCTTACAGTTTGGTCATAGGGTTGCATTACAATGACATTGCCAGTTTTAAATCTAGTTAGATGAATAACCCTTAAGTGTGTTCAGATACTGCACTTTATGTTTGGCCATCGACTTATACTTTACTGTTCTATGATCACATTTACTTTTTAAACATTTTTCTACTTCATTCTTGCTGTATTCACAAGCAAATGCAACAGGGAACCTGACAGTACACAAAGTGCTAACAGATAGACTAAATAAACTGGCAGTGGGCAGGGAATAAGTTACTCTATTATTGCCTGTGCTTATAGCTGAATCAAAAAGTTCTAACTTTATTTATTTTTTATTAGAAAAGTAAGACCATTTTCCAAACTGTGTTACAACCTTCCATTCCAGAAACCACCATCACCCAAAGTTTAACTGTCTCCAGTGCTATATATAAAGCCTTTTCAGAAATAGGATTTTTAAGGTACAATAAGTTTCCAAAATGTATTTGAGGGTAAAGTGGATATGAAGTCTAAGCAACTTTGTTTTTAATAGTTAGAATTTGCTGTCTCCAAAAGAGGCAGTGCTGATTCTTTGGTATAATTTAGCAGCTGGTATTATTCCAAAGAGTGTTAATCGTTGATCTCGCTATGGATATATTTCTTCTCTAATGACTACATGCCTGCCTTTCTGCAAGTGCCACCTTACCTCATTTTAGCTGAATAGTATTTCCATTAGAGATTTAAAACAGCAGAGAAGGTGAGGAAGTATACCATCCTTTTCTCTGCATTTTACCTCTCTGTTTGCTCTCTTAGATGGAGCAATTGCATCTGCATATCTCTGGAATAGTGACAGATGTGAGTGACTCTTGCCTGAAGTGAATGGTCAGAAGCTGCATTCTCCATAGTCCTTACCTGTCTGCAGTCTTGTGTTCCAGTGTCTAACTAGCTGCTTGTCCTGGCATTTCAGCTCCTCCTTTATCTTCACTCCCAAAGAGTACTTATCTAAAACAAACAAGACTTCAGGTAAACAGGAGAAAGATGGCCTTAAAGAGTTTTCCTTTGTCTACCCTAACTTTTTCAAAGATCTGGTGCTGTCACTGTTCTTTTGAAAGGATAACAGTTACAGTAGTTTGGAGAAATGGGGATCTCTTGTTTCCATTAGTTAGCACATTACATTGGAGATAACTTGGATTGTCTTTTTGCTTCTACTGTAACTTATCTTTCTACCCATTTTTGGTTCCTTGAGAAAGTCTGTGTAAATATGAATTTTATGCATGTTTAAAAATTACATCTTTGACAAAACAAAATGGAAAAGTATCAGTCAAAAGTGGAATCTGGAAACAGCACAACTGTGACTTGACTTTAAGAAGATCTCTGCTTTCAAATTATAAAACAATTTGTTCTAACTTCTCATTTCAAAAGAAAAAAATACCAGAGTAAAGGGAGATGAGATCATGTAAAATGTTGACCCAATGACTGCCCTAAAATGGGAAATGTTACTTTTTAGGTTGATCTCTTTGGTGTGTGAAAGTGAAACCTAGTGTCAAGAAAGAATACATCATCCAACAAAGCAAGATGGTAATGAATATCAGTGGTCTGTGGATCTTGTTTCAAACTATATAATGCATGCCTTTAACAAATAGGGTTAGATAGAAATTCGCCCATTCCAACTTTTCCTTCCCATTGTCTCTCTTTGGGTTGCTCATTTCAAACAGCCTATTTTATCTTACAAGAACTGATTTATTGCCTGATTGGCAGCTGTGACAGGGGGTAGTCCCGAGGCCGATCACTACATTGGCCCATCTGTCACTTCTGCACCCCTCTGGTGCTGGCCTCTGTGCCCTTGTAGCTGCACCCCTCTGGTGCTGGCCTCTGTGCCCCTGTGTCTCTACACCTCTCTCTCTCTGCAACTGTCACTGGGCTGTACCCGAATCATGTGCCCCTTACTCCAGGCACTAATGAGGCCTCCAAACTTCCCCTTAGCCTCATCCTGGTCCTCCGGTGCAAACAGTAACACAAGCATAAGCCCCTAGGCTATAACTTAAACACTAGCAATGACAACAGTACTATGTCCCTTTAAGGGGACAAACTTTCACCCTTAGGCCAATGTGCTCCTAGCCTAGGTACGTGGGAGGCTTCTGGAGTATTGCTGCACTTGGATAGTAAAGCCAGCAGCACTAGGTCTCAGGTAGCTCCCTCATACAGGAGCTCTTTTACCGTCAGTTGCAGGACACAGTGTCCTGCTAGCTCCAGCCTTAGCCTTATATGCCCCAAAACCCTCCCTCCTTCTGGTCACATGATGCCTGAAGGTGCTGCCCAATTACTCCCTTGCAGTGTTGCCTCGGCAACCTGCATCTGTGAAGCTCTGCTTAGCCTGCAGAACTCCCTAGCCAGGCTGCTTCAGCCTTAAAGGACTAGGCACCTCTTAGTGCCCTGCTACAGTGTCATTATTTATTTTTTTCATTGCTATGGTTAATTTGCTGCTGTTACCAAGTTTTCTCTGAGTGGAAACCTAATTCTTAATTACAAAAGGCTTGCATGAACCAAAGGCTGGGTCCACCTGACTAAGGTTGTTTACCTGTTGACTTCAAAGGGAGCAGTTTTGAGTGCCAACATTAAACAAAACAGATTTTCTGTAGTTGGTTCAGCTGGTCCACTGATACTTTTACATACATGACTTGGATCCCTCCTTGCTCATTGGGATGAGGGTGGTAAACGTCAAACAGTCAACCAGCATGGTCTCTATTGGTTGCAACATTTTCCCTTCATGAGCTTTTGTCACCCTAGTGGCAGTAGTTCTGTATCTCAGTAGCTTGTATTTAATCACCAAGAGAGGGACTCAATGCCTGGATAATAGCTGTGTGGACCTTTGAGAAAACACCTTCCTCCTGAAAGCATGTGAGAAACAAGGCATTTTTGGTAATACATTTTATTGGATCAACTGTGTATACTTAGGAGTAGTGGTGCATTGATAAAGAGTTTCTTGGCCGATACCAATAGCCAATTATTAACCAGCCATATCAGCTGATACTGATCTGATAACCAATTTACAGGAATGCAGTTGGGCAGTGTGGAGAGCAGCACCCTGCAGGCAAGTTTGTAGAGGGGAAGGAGCGTGGGGGAGGGAAGAAGTGTGAGGGGGCAGATTGAGGTCCCCATGGGGAGGGAGTGGGGCAGTGGGTGGGGGTGCTGCCCAGCCAGGGCAGTGAATGGGACCCGGGGGCCAGGGCAGGGAGTGGGACAGAGCCACGAGTGGCTCATCAGGGGGTGTGGGGAGAGGGGGTGACTCTCCGCCACTGCATGCACCCCCAGGGGAGGCATATGCCCCATCAGATTTGGGCAAGGAGCAGAGGCAGGCTGCCCTTTGTGGGCTGGGGCAGTACCAGCCTCCTCCCAGTAGAGTGGGGCTGGACTCGGAGCTGGTGGGTGTGAGGCAGGCTCAGCTTTGCAGGGCAAGCGGCAGTGGCACTGGGAGGGGTGGGTATGGGGGGGCTAACTTAAATTTTGGGGTAGCTGTAGCCCCCTCAAGCCACTCCCAGCTCTGCCCCTGCTCAGGACACTCCGCTCTGCTGCCTCTTCCTTGGGAGGCCCCTGCTGTGGGGCAGGGGAGACATGCAGTCAGGATGGGGCTTCCAAGGGAGAGGTAGCAGAGTGGAGTGCCCTGAGCAGAGGCAGTACTAGGGAGGGATTTGGGGGGCTATAGCCAGCTCAAAATTTTCCTTAGCTCCCTCCTGTAGCCATCCTTTCTAGCACCGCCATTGCCTGCCCCATGCAGCTGAGCCTGTTCCACTACCACCCACCCTGAGCCCAGCCCCTGGTCGGCCCCTACACCAGGAAGAGGCTGGTGCCACCCCTGGCCCCAAGCCCACAAGGGGCCCCCAAGCCCACAAATCCGGGGGGGGGGCAAGTGCCCCTCCCATGCCTCCCTGGGGGTGCAGGCAGTGGCAGGGAGCCACCCTCCCTCCACACGTCCCCTGGGAGAACAGCCCACTCCCCACCCTGACCCTGGGGTCCCATTTACTTCTCTAGCTGGGTAGCACCACCAAACCCAGCCCCTGCCCCACTCCGTCCCTCACCATGGGGGCCTTGATCTGCCACCCCACCTCCACAGACTTACCTGCAGAGCACTGCTCTCCACGCTACCTGGCTGCATTCCTGGCCATATGCATGCATGTGGTGTCCAGAGACCCCAGCCAGAAGGCTCATTATATTTATCGGTGACATTATTGGTTACACCAGCCAAAAAAAGCCAATAGCTGATAATGCTAATTTTCGTTTTATCAGTGCTGATCCGATATGCAACCAATATATCAGTGCACCCCTAGTTAGGAGAAAAGTTAGACAAGCTTTTTAAGCACAAAGTCTGACAGCAGTAACAGTGTTAATTGCCTTGGTTCTGGGAGAGGAAGAAACACAGAAGTTTTACATTGATTATAAAATCTAGGGATCTACAGACAGACTAAAAAGAAAAGAGAATGCAAGACTCCTCTATGGACATTGGCATGGTAAAGGAGCACAGTGGTTATAAATAAAGATATTTGTATTCTATGCACCTTAGAGGATTAGATGCATCTTTACATGTTAAATTTGTTATTTGATAAATTGGATTAATTAATAGATTAAAAAAAATTCTATTATTACAGGACATGCCTGAAAATATAGGCAGGAATTAAATCTGCACAAGTAGGTGCCATTCTTATTACAACAATACATCCATGGGTTGCCTGTGGTTAATATATATACTTTAATTTTAGAGATGTAAGTAATTATTATGCTTCTCTGGGAATGGCTGAGGATGCATAATTAGGTTTATCTTGTTGTTTGTATACAGAATAACAGTTCGTTAACTACATGAATATAATTATTTCTAAAATAATGCAATGCCTTATACTTTTTCTGCAGATATAAAAACAGATATAGCATCTTATCCTTTCTGTACTTCTTGTAAACTAAATAAAGAACAATTAGAAAATATTTGTATGAAAAATTAAGTGAATAGTACTAAAAAAACAGACTATACATTAAGTACAAAGCATGGTATCCAAGCAAAAAAATCTTTCCATGTATCTAGGCAGCCTACAACAGCAGTTATGTAGTGCTGGATTAGGGTCTTAAGCACATGAGTAATTTAATTTACTTAAATGAAGTGAATCTAAATTAGCTATGTGGTCAAATGTCTGTGAAGGAAATATATGCTACTGGTTGAAAAAGAAGTAAGCCTTACACAGTGGATGACTACCTATAATAATGCAGTCAGATCCGTGGAGGCAGATGCTTAAATTTATGGGGCACGGCACAATTGTGGGAAGACACTAGAACTGTTTCAGTGAAGTCAGCTTAACAGTTTTAGAAAGTTTTATTCTAAAAGACAAAAAACAGTTCTGCAAGTGGCTAGCTCACTGAAATACACCAACCAAAATCAGCAAAATCTGGAATTTGAAATACTGCATTATTAATTGAGAAACTAAAATGTTATATTAGGAATATTTGGTTTTGTTGATCTACGTCTACCACCTGTTACCTAGAAAAATAAACAGGCATAATGTTAACCCTAAGGGTTTCTTCCTTACTCAGAAAAACACTGCTTGAAACTCATACATCACACAACTTGAATACTGTTGCATAAACAATTCTAAAGACACATAAAGAAACCATAATTTCCTGTACCTTTATTTACCTGTTCTATGTCCCCACATTTTTAAATAACATACTCTAACTTTGCTATTTTATTACTTTTTTCTTTCTTTAATTTCTGCCAGAGGTAGGATGTAATTTGTGAGACTGAGATGTGTGAATGGAGGAAAATAGGGTTTTTTGGGGGGGCAGGGGGTTAAGTAAATTAGTAGTAAAAGTGCTTGAGAAGTACTTTTTTGAAAAAGTCAGTATTAAGCCCATTGGCAGTTTTCCAATTTAAAACATGTATGGCTTTTTGTGATGTCATTATATTTATGTGAGGAGCAGTATTTTAAGTATTCCATATGAGAAGAACTTTGATTGTGTGACAGCTGTTAGTATTTATCAGCCCATATGCTATTCTATGAGTTCAGGGGTGTTTTCCATACTGTCCTCTCTGTTTTGATTCAGTTGTCATAAACAGGCCTGACTCTGATTTCCTTGGAATTTATGGGCGTTCTATATCTGTCAGGGATCAGTCTATTCTATTGCAACTGAGGCTACAGACTTTGCACTTGTCCCAGGATAAACCATTTTATTCTGGGAAAAGTGTGGTCCTTCAGATCTCCATGTCTTTTGTCCTGGGATAAATCCTAAAAAGATTCATGGGATTAAAAGTACTAACAGTTTATCCCAGGACATAACAATCTGTGTCTGAATGGTTATCTCAGAACTGTATCATTGAATTGTCAGTGTGTTCAACCATTCACACAACCTTGATTAGAATGACAATGTGTGTACACATTAATCCCAAGATATTTCTGTTCCAGGACCAACACAGGCACATCTTGACCAGAGACAAATGCAACATCTGTTTGTAGCCTGAAAGATGGTTTCAATAAGTGTTTTTTTTTTTATTGCCTTTGGAGAGAGATACTTACATTTAATGTACAGTTAGGCCATTTTGTGTTTAACTGAAGGGGAGACTACTCTACATTTGTGTTAATTTATTTTTGCCCACCTTTCTATGAAAAAATATTCCACAAAGTGAAAACAAAGTACTTTGAGTCTTGTCCATAAATTATTACCTCAAGTATGTTGACAAAAATGCTGAATTTGATTTGTGAAATATTTTCTGCTGCTTTTCTAACACCTGTGTTGAACATTTCTTACTTTACAAGTACACATGCTTTCTGCCTTCAACACATGAATTGCTTGTGTGGTATGTAATTGGGTTAATCCTTTGGCTAAAGTGCTTTTTGTAACAGAATTTGAATATTTTTGCAACTGACACAGTTTGGTACTAGTTAAACTATTTATGTTTTATTGCCAACCTACTGTTGCTATAATTGTTCTTTAGGACCCTTATCTTTGAAACACTTATGCATACATTCCGCTTTATAGAAATTAGTAGTTTGCATGAAGACACCACATATTTCTTAAGGAAAATGGGCTCCATTGAAAAGCTTCCAGCAAATACACTATTAGCTAGTATGGATTTCATGTCTCCATATTCCAACATCCCCCATGATAAAGGACTACAAGCCATAAAGAACTTTATCCTGTGGAGGATTTCCATCTCTGTCTCTTCCTTGTCTCTTCTACCATTTTTTTTTCTTTTCTTTGTCATTGTCTTCTCACCTGTCTGTCATTCAGTTGCCTCAGCTTACTGCATATGTGAAAACCCTCAGGTAAGAGGGTGGGAACTCCACCTCGCTATTGTTTTAGCAATGACCACGTCATGGGGGCAGGGTCTAGAGCCTAGGTGACAATGCCTGCCTTGGTAGGACCTGAAGGGTGATGTCAAAAGGGCTATATAAACCTAAGACTGCCCAGGGGGAGGGGAGCAACCATGATAAAGGCACACAACAAATGGAACATCTGCAACTCTCTTTCTCTCTCCCAGGATGCTGAAGTGAGTAAACTACCTGAAACCTATCTAGATGTATAGCTTACTGTAATGTAGAAGTGTATCAACCAGCTACTAAGCTGACGCTGCTTGCTCTAAGGTTATTCATTGATACTTCTCTAACCTGTATCCTTTCCCAAGCTGATTCTCTGTAACCAATGAAGCTCACCACTATAATAAGCATGGTGAACTTGCTAAGAGAGGGATCGGGTATGCCTTTGTGCCCCCTTGGTCTGGCTGACTAAGGGAAGCTACTTTTGGTGCTTCAGGCTAAAGAAAGCACCCCAATATCTCATAGCGGGTCAAGTACCCTCAAGGTCTACAGAGCCTGTGTACCCCAGGGGGCATAGGGCCCTATGACAGACCAGAAACCCCGGGTGGTGGCATTGGTACCCCCACGCTGCTTGTGGGTGTGCTTCAGGAAGGGGGTTGACTGGATATGAGGCACCCCTGGGGTGGCACTTGGAGCTTGGTGAGGTGGGTGACTCAGTGCAGGAGCACCCCCTACTGGCCTGCCACAATCCCCCTTGAGGAAACTGCTGCTATTTCCATTAGGCTTTCCTTTTTCCTTTTACACAACAGATCTAGGGACTCCCTATATCTACAAATGAAGGGCACTACCATGACCACACATATAGCCCCTGAATATGCCAACATATATATGACAGACCTTGAAGTCTGGTTCCTCTGCAGCTGCCTTCTTATTCCCTTGGTATACCTCAGGTACACTGATGAGATCTTTATAATATGGACACATGAGAAGGAATCTATAAAGTAAGGGTGACCAAAATACAGTCTGCGGAGCATATCTGGCCTATAAATTGGTCCTATCTGGCCCACCCGCCACTGCCAATAACTCAAGGAGGGAGGACTGCACCTTACCCTGCTCCGCTATAGCTGGGCCCAGGTTGAGCCACGCAGTGCACAGACTCCTCCGCCCCCATGGGCAACTGGTGTCTCCTGAGTCTGGGGGGCAGCCGCAGATGCTGCTAGCAGCATCAGTGGCAGGGGTGCAGCTAGTGAACATCCACAGACACTGGCGCCAGCCCTGTCAGGCACCCCCACTACACATTGCCTATGTCCGCCCCCATACCTGGCTTCCTGTTGGTGCTACAGCTGTGCAGTCCTGGTACTGTGGCTGCCAGCAATCAGGGCTACATGGGATGGGGCACAATACAGCACACTGAGAAGTCATTCTGTCTGCTGCAATGAGCTGCTGCTGTCATGGCACCACTAGTTCATCCTGGCCACAGGCAGGGCTCGGCCCAGGGCAGCCACCCCCAACTTTCCCAGTGTGTTGTGGTGGCAGAAGTGGTTCATTGCAGCAGGTGGGTGGGATAGCTACCTGGTATGCTGCATCACACCTCGTCCCATGCAGGTTTGGCTGCTGGTGGCTGGGGTGCAGGACTTTGAAGCTTCCCACCAGGAAGCCAGGTGGGAGGGTGAATGCAGGGGGAGGCGGAAGAGTCTGCTCACTGCACAGCCCCGCCCAGCCCAGCCCAGCCCTGGTGTGGGATGCAGCCCACCCTCCTCAAACCCCAAAAAGGATCAATTTCCACACCCCCAACCCAGGCCCTCAATAGCTCACCAATACTCCTTAAGTGGACCTCCAGCCCGAATAATTGGCCACACCTGTTCCAAAGAAATTCTACTTGGACTTTAACAATTTCCACCCTTCCATCAAGCTACTCTAGAATACTCCACCCAGCAAATTTGTTTCCTAGACACTGCAGTGAAAATTTGCAATGGCCACGTTGCCACCACATTGTATGAGAAACCACCTGATCACCACAGCTACCTTCATGTCCCCAGCTTTAACTTTAAACATACCATTAGATCCATCATCTACACCCAAACTCTACATTGCAATCACAATATACTCTGATCCTACTGATCAGGATGCACACCTTAAAGTTATCTGGAGCAGGGATTCGTACAACTATAATAAAATGTTCAAACTGTAGCCACTCAAATCAATAAAGCCAGATTCATACCTTGCTCTGACCTGCTACAGTATCAGCCCTGGGACAAGGACAACAGAATGCCTTTGGTTGTCACCTACAGCCTTCAGCTTGAACACCTTAGATGCATCGTTAATGACCTCCGATCCCTCCTGGGAAAGGATGACCATTTCAAGGTAGCAATGTGGAAGAAATCTGTCTTGGCATACAGACAGCACCCCAAACAGTGTGTCTCAGACAAAAGATTAAAACTCCCAAACTCACTGAGGCACCAGGCCTTGTAATGGACCCAAATGCGTACTGTTCTCTCACATCAATACAGACCACATAATCGCTGAACTGAATAACAAAGAATCTAATATCTAAGGTTTATTCATTTGCAACTCTACCAATGTTATATACACCATCATCTGCTTACAATGCCCCTCTGCTGTTTACATTGGGCAGATAGGGTGATCTCTACATATAAGAATGAATGAACACTATCCCAGGGGGATGATAAGAAAGGGTTGGGAGACCCCTCCAGTGGGGACAAACTGCCATGACAAGAAGAAGAAAAGCCCCGAGAACAGGGCACTCTCACCTTCCCCAGGGACAGACAGGCCAGATGAGCCACAGAGGAGCAGAGAAAACATGTGATTCATCAGCTGCTTTTCTCTGCAGCTGGGGCCCAATGATGTCATCAAGGAATGTCGCCTGGCGGGGATAAAAGCCAGTGGCGAGAAATCAGCTGGAGGGACACAGCAGGGAGGTGGCTGCAGGGCTGTCCCCTGGGCCAAATGGAGGCCTCCCAATGCTTACAAGGAGGGGCTGGAGAGGGACCCAGCAGAAGGGCCCAGGGCTTGATTTAAAGGGCCATGCTACCCCGGATGGTGAGGGGTGGCGAACGCAGGACACGTGAGTGGAGTGTGGGTGGAGGCCTCTCCTTGGAGTTTTAGTTCTTTATTTATCTTTCAGTTTACCTTGAAGCCCAAGGGTTAGAGAAAAGGCCAAAGGACAGACGCTGAGGGCTGAGCAGGCTGGGCTGCTCAGAAGGTCCTGACACAGATAGGCTAGACCCATCATTGAGGCCATCTCACCATCCCAAGCACATCTGTGTGGCAGGGAGGAAGGCTGTTGCAACAACCAAGGGCCGAAAAAGGCAGAGAGAGAGTGGGACACTATATCAGAGCGGAGTCAAACTGTCCATCGTTCAGCAGTCCCAGTAGTCTGCCGCATGGCTGGAGTGTAGGGGAGATAGAGCCCCAGGAACTTCTACTAGTGATGATGCCCTGTGCATTCCCTGCTGCAGAAGGGAATCCACTACTGAACAGAATATCCAAGATGTGGGAGGCAAGTATTGGGGTATCCTCTGGGGAAAACATGTCACAACAGCAGGAGTCGTCTCCACAGCAGACCCCTAGTGTGCACTCCAGGGCCACATGGGAGAGGCTCCATGAAGTCAGACGGGCACAAACACTGATCTGATATTAGTTGCAGAAAGAAACAAAGGCCCATGGCAGAACACTTTAACTTCCAAGGATATTTCTTTGCTGACCTCAGGATTGCTGTTTTCAGGCAGAAAAATTTAAAAAATCCAGTTTGAATAGGATTGGATTGTGTGAAGTATGGTTTAAACAGAGACTATGAATTCCTATTCCTTTACCTGGATTCGTTTTTGTGATTCCCCCTTTGTTCCTATGGGTTCTTTTTCTTGTGTCCCTCTCCCAGCACTGCTCTCCTCCTTCCTTCCTCCCTGTCCTCCCTTCCCATCTTTTGTATTCAAATCACTCACTTCACTTTACACAGGACTTTGTGTGCTATGTTTATCTTTTCACAGCATCTGATGAAGGGACCTTCAATTTATGAAAGCTGATGATGTACGTATATATGTATGTATATTATCTAGTCTATAACAGTGGTTTTCAACCTGTGGTCCATGGATCCCTGGGGGTCTGCAGACTCTGTCTAAGGGGCCTGTGAATGTTGACTATGATCAATCCAAAGTATATGAATACTCACATTTACACAAAGGGGTCCACACCTCCATTTGCAATTTCCAAAGTGGTCTCCACCTCCACTGGACATTTTTTAGGAGCCTGCAAATGAAAAAAGTTTGAAAACTACTGGTCTGTAAGGTTGTATCTACCCTGCATTCTACTTGACTTGAAACTAGCTAGAATTTGATTTATAAAAACATGTTTTATTCTCCCATGAAAAAAAAGTAACTTCAAAACTTACTTAAAAACAAGTGTCAAAATAAAGATCACATTCAGTGTCATTGCAGGATTAACTCAAGGTTAAATAAAAGTATTTCCCCATCAGGGAAAGACAATATAAACAGAAGCTTTACCATGTGCTTCAAAGGCCAACAGAGTACTCTATTGAATTTCTGTGGAGAAAGTGAATCAAGGTTAAAGACTGTTTGTTTGCTTTCCTTTCCTTTGATGTGGCACCGTGTTTGGACTTTCTGCAGAAGGTAACATTGCACACAATGAGAACAGGATCTATGAATGATGCTATGTTGACACCACCTAAATCCTCTAGCCTGAAGAGAAGGAAGAAGAAGGGCTGTGGCAGTACAAGCTAAAATATTCCTCACCAGTAGCCTAAGGCGAGAGATTATTTTAATTGGTGTGACATGGCTCTTCTAAAGCTATCAACAATTGTTTTTTGTTGTAGAAGTTAAAAGGTAAATCAAAGACAACTCATGTTTGAGAGGGGTCTTTATGGCTATAAATAATATAAAAGTCAAGCTGTCGGTTTTGGTGGTGGGTTTTATTTATTTATTGATATGGGTATCTGACCGCCAAGGGTGTAGTGCAAACCAGCCTATTTGACATTGACTCATCAGTGCCAAACTGCTTGAGGAGACATTTTAGGATGGTTAGTTGTTTTTCCATGTCTTTTTTGGATGATGCCTTGGCCTGGCTACAGCAGTTTGTTTCTCCGTCTCCCCTCCCCACCCCTTATCTTTTTATTTCTGCTTTTTTGCTTCTCACACTCCCTTCACCACTCACTCAGAGATTACTGGACATAAACTGGTTACACATGTTCCTACCTGGTGTGTATGGTCTTATGACTGAGCTGAATGCTTTAACCACGGAGAAGCCTTGGCAGAAAACTGCTGCTTGGAAATGAATGCCTTTACGTGGGAGCTACTTTTGTGATAAATAACGTAAATGCAGCTGTAGGAGTAAGGCATACTTTGGTGATACCTGCTGCTCCAGCAGTGATGGGAGCATATTTATACCATAGGTATATCGAGACTTGGAGTCATCATGCTATTTCTTTCCTTCTGTGTCCCATCCTCGATTCCAGTCCCTGAATGAATAAGCCTCTCCCCCTTCAACAGCCTCTATAGACTTTTCTTCAGTGCAACAAACTGATGTGTGCATATTGCAACCTTTTGCTGTTTGTAATTGTAACTGTTTTGCCCTCTAGTGGCTAACCTAAAAAAGTTTGAATTCTCCTGGATAAATTAACAATCCACTCTATGATTGTTACTGGTGCTGCTCCTTTAATGCATAAATGCATTCTGGGATAGGGTCAACTGACAAATTAGCATTTGTTTTGTGAAAGACAGGAATAACTGCTGAACACCACGTGAATCGCGTATGCGGTGAGCAATTCAGTTATAATATTTAGAATCTACTACTATTGTGCTTATTTATAGAGTGTACAATTTGCTAATGAGATATATGATGTTTGAGAGCAGGCCCAAAAGCCCACAAAGAAAAATACTACCAAGAAGCCACAAACAGGATAATTATAAGCTCTCTCTATGCAGTATGACATTAGAATGTGAGCTGATAAACGGGGATGGTACAAACTGAACCTACCTTGAACCCACTAGCATAAGTAACAGTGCTGAAAAGAAAGTTGCATGTTTGATGATAAGGAAGATGCTTCTGTGTAAAAACTGCTCAAAGCCTATTATTGTGTAGTTATAAAAATTAACAAGGCCATAGATAATAGTATAGAAATAATCTA